AGAGTCCAGGGACCAGGAGAAGGAAAATGTGAGGCGAATAAAGGAGATTCAGAAGAAGTGCAAAGAGAGGGAGCGAGCCCAAGAGCACAGCCAGCCCAAGCCTGTGAAAGCTCTGTGGAAATCCCAGAAATATGAAAATGTGGAGTCAAAGGTGAAGGCCAAGCTGCAGGTTGGTACCCACTGAGCTCTTGAAGTCTCCTGTCCTGGGATGCCGTTCAGATGAGGCTCTGTGGGACGGTGGCGACAGGGGAGTCCCAGAACCTACGGGTCTGGGGGCAACTCATAGAATCATAGAATGTTTTGGGTTGGAAGGGACCCCTAGAGGTCATCTAGTCCAACCTCCCTGCAGGGAGCAGGGACACCTTTAACCAGATCAGGTTGCTCAGAGCCCCGTCCAACCTGGCCTGGAATGTTCTGAAGCACAGTGGGCAGATGTGATAGGTAGCAAGAATGTTTGGCTTGGGTCTGGAGAGCAATTGCTGTAATAATCCCCATCCTGTCTGGCCACGTAGATCCCCCATGCAGGGGAAGCTGAGAAGAGGAAAATCTCATCACGCCCTCTGCCTGGAGGCTCCTCCTTGGCCCTTCAGTTGTTAGGGATCTAAAGGCAGTTCCTGGGGAGTGCAGAGCAGCCCTCACAGCCACATTAAGGAAAAATTCCTTCCCTGAAAGGGCTGTCAAGCACTGGAAGGGGCTGTCCAGGGAAGGGGTTGAGTCCCTATCCCTGGGGGTATTTAACAGCCGGGCAGATGAGGTGCTTAGGGCCAGGGTTTAGTGGTGGGATGGCAGGGTTAGGGGAACTTAAAAGGCTTGGTGAGCTTAAAGGGCTTTTCCAACCTAAACAATTCTATGATTCCCTGTCTAGAGGTGCATCCAGCTGGCTTTGCAGCTTCTCAGTGTTTGGGGCAATGCTGGTCTGGGGTTTGTGCCAAAAGGCTGTGGTATTCTGCCCCATGGATCATGGTCCTCAGGGGTAGGTCTTCAGGCTGCGTCAAACGTTGGTCCAACTCTTATCACCCAGTGGGCCATGTATGTCCAGTTCCTTCTCTGAGCGATTGTCTTGGTGAATAACCACAGTGGGGGCACACAGACATCTCCAGACAGTCAAGGTGGAGGCCTCGTAGCTCCAGCACAATCACTGGGGGTGTGTGTGCCTCCTGTCCTCTGGACACGTGCTTGTGGGAGAAGGAATGTGGGGCCGTGCCTTGTTCCTCATGTTTAAATGGTGCCTCTGTTGGGGGGCTTTGCAAAATGCACCCAAGCAGTTGCCTTGGTGTAAGTGTACTGTTTGTGCGGGAAGTAAAGGCCACATGGAAGAGGGAAGGAGAGCTCCATCAATAGCTTTAGGTGGATCCCCTGTCATCCAGGTGACCTCTGTGTTCGGGTTGGCTTCTTTCTTCATCCAGAAGTAGGCACTGTGGCTCCTATGGATGGAGTTGGTTCCCACCACCTGGTGGGTTGTGCCCACCCTCATCATAGTGACCTCCTGGAGGAGACCTTGGGGCTCCCTTCCAGCTCAGCTGCGCGGGGGAGAAGCTCCCTGGGAAAGGGGAAGTGCAGGGCTGCTGCCTGGGCCAGTAAGCCACTGGCTCTGTGGAGTAGCCTTGAACTGTTGGATCCTCCATTCCCATCGGCCTCAGAATTGTCAGCTGCCAGGAAAGGGCTTTGTCCTTCTGCGAGTCCCTGGTAGCCTTCACAGTCTCTGTCTCTGTTCTGCCTGTGCAGCCAAGCAGGCTGCGTGGACAGGAGCGCCACAGTGTGCTGCTGCTTGTGCAGATGGTGGGTGCAAGCTGGGTGATGCCTCGAGCACTGCCTTCCCTTGGCGCTCCCTTCCCGAGTTGGAGCCTTCAAGTGCCTCCTCCTCTCTGCATTGCTTCCCTCTGGTCTGTGGCCCTTGGGCCAACTCTTGACACTAAAATCCCATGTGTAGATAACAACTGCAAAAATTGGCAAGGTGATTTCCAAGCCAGTGGTTCCAAATGCTGTGTCCCTTCTTCCCCATGTGCCACCAAGCTCTCTGACATCCACAGATGGGAGCAAACCTACGTGTGCTTCAGCAACACAAGCCTACACTCTTGTTTGACAGATCCTCTGGGTTAGAGGAAGATTGAGATAATTTCTTCTTTTGTTTTGGGGAAAGGGGATGGTCTCTGTGCAGGCAGTTTCTGCATGGTGCATTACTTGGGCTCTGCGGATTCCTCCGGAGAGAGGTGGCAGGAGGCCCATGGGCTGACTCACATTGCTTTAACTGTTGCTGTGGCTCTCCTAGAGCTGGGGTGTTCCCTGTGAAGGATCCCCGCCTTTTGTGGAGCTGCTGCTCAGAGTTTAAGTTGATTCTGTTAGGTCTTGATGTCTAACGCAGAGTTTCTTTTCTCTCCCCATCCCTGAAGCTTTTAATTGTAGCAGCTGCCTTGAAAAGGGCTCTGACAGTCTCAGTGTTCCAGTGGAGGAAGGTGGGCACACTGCGCCCTGCTAGCACGCTCCTAAGATTGCAGACTTACTTTACTTCTAAGCGACTGCAGTAGGTAAAGACACTTCTCATTAAATTACCAGAGAGATCTGG